TTGGTGTCAAAGCATGGTAAGGTTAACATATAACTCCTTAAATGAGGCTGTGTTCTCAGTCAAGTGTTATGTCATTATGTCATTTGATACATATAACAACCCTACCTGGCAGGCACTATTTTCAACCCCATTTTACTGATGAGGAAACTGAGACAGGAGGAGACTAGCAAACTAGCCCAGGGTTGTACATTTAATAAATAGTGAAGTCATGGTTTGAATCTTGGAAGTCTGGTTTTCCTGCCTTTGCACTTGTTTGTATGTATCTGACTAACCAAGAAATAGATGTACCATGAAACTAATATTTGAGTTGAATTCAGGTCCCTGTTTGTTTGAGACCCCTAAGATCCTGGACCTAATTTTATAATTTGTAATTTTAAAATTATTTTTTGAAGAGGAGTCCTCCTCTACCCTCCCCACCTCTCTCTCTCTCTGCCCTCTCTCATGCTCTCCCCCTCCACCCCCTCCTCTGTGTGAGTATGTACGTGTGTGTGTGAGAGTATGGTTCCCAGCTAGTGATGATCTTCCCAAGATCACCCTGACAAAGCTGAAGGGATCAATAGCTCAGGACACATTTAATTTATGTGAGCACCTTTGAATGAGGCTCCATCAGCCCATGTATTTGCTTGTAGGACTTCAAGTGCTTGCAGAGTTAAATTTCACCTTGTCCTAGGAGTTCAGAGCAGAGGTGTGAGATTGCCAAGGCTAGAGACTGAAAAGGAATTCACCACTTTAAAAGTGTTCAGTTTTATTTGCTACTTATTAGTTGATTTGTTAAATTGGGAATAGGATGCTCATAAGCATGAAGGTCAGAACTTCCATGAAAGACGAGAAAATAATCCACAGAACTTTTCTTTTTCTGCACCTGAATTTTATAGTGACACTTTTCTTCTCCTGTGTTTTTTCTGTCACCTTTCTGAAGAATTACAAAATAGAATCTTTGAAATGGAAGAGGAAAACTAACAAAAAACATTCATCACACCCTTGCATTGTTTTTATGTATCCTCACATAATCACCACAGGAAGTATTTCCCACATTTTTGAGAAGTAGCAATTAAGACTCTGGGAGTTGAGATAATGTGTGACAGTTAAGAGTTACTTTATGGTGAAGTCATGCATTCAAACCAAAGATTAATTGACTTAAACCCAAACACTGGACTGGGAGTGTGGGTCAAGTGGTAGAGTCCTTGCTTAGCATTCATGGGGCCTTGGGTTCAATCCTCAGTATCAGGGGAAAAACAGCACTACTCCTTTTCTCTCAAGATAGCCTTTTGGGGTATAAATGCAGCAGAGAACATATTCTCTCATTTGTCTCAAATCTTATGTGCCTATCTCTTCAATGTGAAAAGTAAGTAAAGCCTTTGGGACCACCCACAGTACGTGGAGAACTTTGGTAGGGGGCTGTGAAACCTGTAAGCACATGGCCCCAGGAGCTACAAGGTTCTTTCCTGCCTGCAGGAGATATACTTGGGGAATAATTAGATACGCCCAAAGGTTTATGTACACTTGTGTTCATCACAGTGTCATTTATAATAGCTACAAATAGAAAACAATCTAAATGTTCCACAGTAGGGGAATGATTAAATAAATTAGGAAGTGTCATATAATGAAATATTACTCCCATTAAAAATCATATTTTTCCAAGACAATTAAATTCAATACTCACTCCTATATTATTCCTGGTGCTGGAAGACTAAAAAGCAACTATAAAGAACATTACAAGGACAAGTGGGAAATTTTTAATGTGGACTCTTTACTACCTAAAATCATTGTACCATTTATTGAATGTAAATATCTAGAAGTAATCAATGTAATTTATAAAATTTGCTAATTCTCAGAAGATACATACTTCTATATTTAAGGATGGAAAAAAGCCACTTTCAAAAGGTACCTAATGCTGGGTACCAGTGACTCACACCTGTAATCTTACTTTGGAGGCTGAGATTGGGAGTATCATGGTTCAATACCAGCCTGAAGAGTTCATGAGACTCTCATCACCAAAATAACCAGAAAATGAACTACAGATATGGCTCAAGCAGTAGAGCCCCTGCTTTGCAAGTGTGAAGCCCTGAGTTCAAATCCTAGTCCCATCAAAAAAAGAGATACCTAATAATGTTCATTTTGCTTAGCATATAAAGACAAAAAATCATAAAGATACAGTAAATATACCAAAATGTCAACATTATAATGCTTTAGAGCATGTGATTTTATTTTCTTTTGCATATTTCAGGAGTCTTCCATTTTCTTACTATGCCCAATAACTCTGTTCCAGTCCCTCCAAGAAACTAGCACAGGAACAAATCCAACAATATGGAAAGGTGTATTGGGCATGTTCTTGAATTAAATTAGTCCAAGAGAGCTTCATAAATCATTCCAAAGTCAAATAGGTCCCAACACTCTCTAAGCATAGTAGGTTAAAGTCAAGTCATTATGGCAAAAGGAAGCAATTTTCTGAAAATTTATGAACTTTTATTGGTAAATTAGATTTCAGGGTTAGAGGTAATATTTATTTTTAAGGTACTCTACAACAAAGAAAATCAAAAAGCAAGGTAGCTATATTGCAATTTGATGAGGAAGAACACCTCCATGTCCTCTCTTCTCAAGAATAGACATTTTCCTCCTTTTCTAGCTAGTTTTGGGAAAGTAGAGGAAAAAAATGACTATGATCCTGGATTTCACTTTGATAATGTCCACTAAACAAGAGAGTGTTTGTGAATTGCTGTCTTGTGAAGGAACTGTTGAATTAAGAACGGGCAGAAGACAGGGATTGAGAGGACGAAATGGCTTGAGGAATGGTTGCAGGCTCCTTGTGGGACACCATTCATATTCAAGAAAACATTCACCCAGAACTTTGAAGAGTGCCAGGGGATGACAGCCAAGCAAGGCCTTAATGTTCCATTCTGACCACACTGTCTCCCATCCTCACCACCACATCTGTTAAGCTTGAGTTTATATTTGGAAACCTAGAGTGAAATTTTTCTTATAGATTTTTATAGTTATTTATGCAAACTCAGAAGACTAAGAGGACTGTAAGTTCAACCTTTCCCACATACCCAATTTGTGACAGTCTCAGCGTAGACAACAGTGTAGAAAAGACCCACTCAGGATGACTTTGCCAGAAGAAAAAATAAGCCTGTTTCTTTGACAATATGAACCCCTTGAGGACAAAGGAGCTATGACCTACACATTTTCTATGTTAAATGTATTCACAATAATTAAATTGTATTACTTTTATATACACTTACAAAAAAATGACATTTTGTATAGATGAAAAAAGATACATACTAAATGTTTGGGTTTGATTTTTGTTATTTGTTTCTTAGCTTTGGGGGTAAGAATTAAATAAAATCTAAAACAACAACAAATGAGAAACAGAGATTGACAAATATCTAAAGAGGAAGGATTGGGTCCTCCTCCCACACAGGTCTTTGATTCTCATTTTATTTGATGACAGGATGAAAGTGCAGATGGAGACAAAGAAGAGAAAAGAGCATTTGGGGAGGATCCTAAGGCTTGTTCAGAATTGCTCCACTACCTTTGAGGAAGCGAATAATGTTGAAAGGGAAAGCAGATACAGATCAATGAGGATGAACCCAGCTACTTTCTGACTCCCTTGATGGTCTTGTGTGCTTCTCAATAGGTTTATCAGTTTTCCCCCAACCTAGTCTTCAATTTAGATAAAAATCCATGATAGGCTTTTTTCCTGAAAATCTTAACCATTAGAGTTATGTGTGGTGGTTAAGTCCTATCAGTTGGCATGTCTGCTTTATGATGCTGACTTCTTTGTATAGTAAAAGGAGATCAGGAGATGCCCTTTGTGACTGGTGACATTCTTCAATGTAAGGTAAAATTCCATTAAAAAAATAAAAAGTTAAAAACCAAAAACTAGCTACTGTGCTGCATCTATTTATTTCGGAGGTAGAGACATGAGGATTGCTATTTGAGGCTAGCCTGGGCAGTAAGTTTGTGCAAACTCATCTTAACCTGTTATACCACCCATAACAGGAAGCATAAATAGGAGGGTTGAATTTTAGCCCAGCCTGGGCAAAAAGTGAGACCCTATCTCAAAAATAACCAAAGCAAAACAGCAGGGGGCATGGGCCAAGTGATATAGCACCTGCCTAAAATGGCAAAGCCCTGAGTTCAAACCCCAGCACAGCCAAAAAAGAAAAAAAAAAAAAAAAACTGGAGTTCTGAAATAAGAGAGTGGGCTCTCTTTGGCCTTCCATGAATTGAAAACTTTCTGCTCACAGCAAAAAGATAACCTTATTTATAAACTCAATTAAGTCACTCATTTGGTATCCACTGCCATGAGACATTTATTGAACAGACACTTTGCTCTGTCATCTTTTAACATTAACAAACAACAAAAGGTTTGATTGAGGGAATATGGATGATCTGATGTTATTCACACAAGTATTTGCAGCATCCAGAAGATATAAACCCTCCTGAATACAAGTACTCCAAGCCTCACAATATAGAAAAGCAGCATTTCAGAGAACACTGAATCCTGAGTCCCTATCACCCGCCCTAGAAAAAGAGAACTCACACCTGAGGTCCTCAGAAGGATCTGAATTTTCTACACATACTTAGCTCTGCACATAGGACAAAGGCACATTCAAACTGCAAAGTTTTTTAAGAATCAAATAAATAAATACACTTGAAAAATGACATGTGTTTATAAAACTGACCTGTAACATCAGGATTCAAGATAAAAGGGGCTACTTCTAGATCTGTGATTTTGAGTGACCAGCACATACATGGGGTAGTCCAGATAATGAATTCAGTTAGACACAGTAATGATCAGCATTCTCTTATTGGTGTTGAAGTAGATTTTCTAATTGGCTCTTCATTGTGGGCTCAGGTTTGTGAAAACTCTTTGGGGAGGGGGGTTGTCTTTCAGATACACCTGATGTGAAGACTTGCAATGCATTATTTGTTTTAATGAATAGTCACCTGGTGGTCCTAGACCTTGTCCTCAGTGGATGCTCAGGGCAAGTCCCTCAGATGTGACTATCCAATGAGCAGATGGTAATAGGGTCTGTGTTTGTCCCTTCATTGGGGAGGCAAGGGGAAAATATTGGCCTGAGAGCCTCTTGGAAATAAGCTGAAGGGAAACTATAGATGAGGGACTCATCTGTCACATTGTAGAATGCTATATGTCCCGATTCATAGTCTAAGAAAACACCGACCTTATGCACAGGCTCCCGGACGTGTTGACCTTTCAAAGGTGATGAGACCCAGAGACTATAATCATCTCCAATTTTTAAACCTATAAGTGAGAAGAGGTCCCCAGGGGGCTTTGGGAGATTTCCCTTTCTGCTCACAGAGTCCTTGCAGATGCCCACTTCCCACTCAGTCTTTTTCCCGACTTCCACCTCCCAGTAGTGTCTCCCACCAGTGAAGATCTGAGCTCCTAACACAGTGGCAGACTGGTCAAATCTTTCTGGGTTGTCAGGTAACTGCTGTCTGATTCCTCCATATCTCACACTTTTCAGATCCTCAGACAAGACAAGGTAGGCATTGGCTGTGGCTGGATCCAGAGTTACCTCTGCTGCAAGAAGAGAAAAGAATGAATCCTCCTTTGACATTCTCAGAAACCTCCTATATATATGTGGAATTTAAACTTAGTATTTAGCCCTATTCTTTAAGTATAATTTAGGTGAGAGCCAGGCATTCCTGAAGCTGAGGCAAGAGGATCACATGTTTGAGGTTAGCCTGGGCTACATAAAGAGACCATGTGTCAAATAAATAAATATAATTTAGATGAGTATGATGAGAGCACAATTGGATTTGCTTAGAATAAAATCTCTGGACTCATTTTTCACCGCTCCATAAAACAAAGAGCAGAAAAGTCAGGTGGAGAAAGATATTTGCCTGCTTGAGAGGAAGAATGGAACCTGAGAGTGTAGTGCAAAGCTGTTCTGTTTACAAGACAGTCTTAGAACTCAAGGCTATTTACCACTCAAGGATACCCTTTACTGTTGATATTCAACTTAGCCACAGTTTGTTCTGGTTCTTCAGTTGTGTTGGGAAAGAAATAAAGGCAATTATCATTAACTGAGCTCCTCTTAATGTGCCATGATTTTCTATGCATTATATCATTTAATCATTGTGATATTATTGATTTTCCTCATTTTTATGAAAAAAGAAAACTGAAGTTCATAAAGATTAGGAAACTTGCCAGGCACCAGTGGCTCACACCTGTAATCCTAGCTTCTTGGGAGGCAGAGATCAGGAGGATCACATTTCGCAGCCAGCCCAGCAAACAGATCACAAGATCCTATCTCAAAAAATACCCAACCCAAAACAGGGCTAGTAGACTGGCTCAAGGGGTAAAGCATCTGCTTAGCAATATGGGGTTCCTGAGTTAAATCCCAGTACTCCCCCCCAAGAAAAAAAAAGAAAGAAAAAAGTTAGGAAACTAATTTCAAGATTACAAAATTACTGGATATTTGTTTGCTGTTTTGGCTGTACTGGGGTTTGAACTTAGGGCCTCATGCTTGCTAAGAGGCATTCTACCACTTGAGCCATGCCTCTTGCCAAAGTTACTGAATGATTTGAATAGCAATTCCTAACCAGTATTTTTCACTTCTTTTCTCTGCTCAAGCTCAGACATGTCTATGGCTCCAACCTTGTGTTTGGTGCTAGCTCAAGATACCTTAACTGAGGGCCTAGGGTCAGATGTGAATATTTTTTGTTAGAGGCTCAGTTAAGCATCCCATAACATATGCTGAAGTTAACTGCATAGCTCTCTGGAAGTCTGACAAACCAGATTGGCTTACTGCTGAATTTCCTTAGCATCTCCCTCATTCCAGTGATGCGACACAAACTCAGTTCTGTGATGGTGGCTTCTGGACACTGAAGCAGGAGTGTCTCGCTCCTACAAGAAAGCAGAGATCCTCACTCTCTCCTCAGCACAGACCACATGGCCTGCTCCAACTGGAGAGTCCATTTCATTGTTCCCCAATAGCATAGACACTCTCATCCTGATCTCGGAATCAATTTCACCAGCACCATATCCTCATATCCTGCATAATTGAACACAGAAGGAGGCCTACCTTTCCAGAGCTCCTCTGACTTCCTAAGGGCATAAAAGAAAGGAGGATGGCATTAGTTCATCTTGATCATTAGCAAAACCTGAATATAGTCACAGAATGTATTCACAGAATCCCTTCCTGTGGTCCTGGAACACCTTGAGAGGAAGTGTGCAAGGCAGGAAAAAAAATCACCAATATGTTTTTGGTGAACATGAGATGTTCCTCAGAATGATGAGAAAATAATTTGTTCTTTATTTCATTCTATCACTTTGTCAAAACTTGATGTTACAAAGAACCAAATAAGTATCTCATTATCCAATGCTTCAGAAAGGCAAAGGAGCAAAAGAAAAAGGCCGAGTGAGAGAGACTAAGGGGCTGATGGTGTAGCTCATTGGTAGAGTTCTTGCCTAGCATGTATAAGGTCCTGGGTTCAATCCCCAAAACCATCAAAAATAAAAACACAAACAAACAAAAAAAACATGGAGAGTAAGACTAAGCTTTATAAAATGGGAGTGATTCATTTGGAAGACACTAAATTAAATAGCAGCATCCTGTAGAACCAGTCGAAGACATAGACCTGAAGCTGGAATTTTCTCACATGGCTTATGTTTGAGAATATCCCGAAAAATGTAGTACCCTAGGAAGGTAGTAGTGCAAAGATGGTGAGAAAAATGGGCTTAGCGCATAGCACACCTGGATACTGCCACTTATTAGTTGCTTGACAGGCAAATCACCTTCTCGTCCTATGTCTGAATTTCTAATAAGTGATACTTGTAAACCTTTTTTGTAGATGACAGATGACAATCACTGTAATGTATATAGTAATAATGCTTATCTTCAACAAGCCTTTGAGAAGATCAAATTTAACATGCCCAGGACATAATCAATGTTTATTAATAAACTTAAAATATTTGATAAAGGTGAGGTTGTAGAGAGGCAGGTGCAGAAGAAATTATAGTATCATTGTGCCTGTTTGGGATCGGTATTCCTCCATTTTTTATTTTTGTTTTATCTCCCTTTTCAAGACTTTTTGTGAGCATATATTAATTGTACCAGGTAAGGTAGTTTTGTTATGACATTTCCATACATCTTCGTTAACCATATTCACCCCCTTTCTTACTCTCCAACACTTTAGATATATAGAATGTCAAAGCCTTGGGAAAACTACATTTTCTGGTGAATAAAGGAAAAATTATTTCCTATGTCTATTTATTTTTCCAACACCTATGAATTTTAGCCTCACCTCAAAAGATTCCAAAGTTGAGTTCTGACATGTGGACTCTATCTGCCTAATCATTTTACTTAGGCTTCTGATTTGCTGGGTCAGCTGAATCTCATTGTTCCTCAGTTTCTTCATGTTCTCTCTCTCCTCTTTTTCTAGGAGCTGGAGTTGGAGCTGCTCTTCTTCCTTCAGGAACTGGTGCATTTTCATATATTCTGACACAACCACCTGTTTAAAGGTCTTTGTCTCTTCCTAATGTCACACATACACCCAGAGACAGACAGAAAGAGAGATGTTAGTAACTGGAATAGCTATATCCATAGACCTTTAATTCTAACAAAGTCCTATAATAGTTCTACTGTGATAATTCTTGAAGCCTGACACATAATATTTATCTTGTTGAAAATGCAATGGTTTCAATAGTAAACAAAACCAAAATTTTCATGCCCAGGAGCTGTTATTCAACTGGAAGAAACCAAGAATAAACAGAGAAGATGACAAGTGGCAATCAGTACAATGATAAAAGATAAAGCAAAATTAAGGGGGAAAATTATGAATATGCATGTGTGTCCATTTATTCAACAAATATTTTGTCAGTGAAAGTAGGAATTGGGATCACATACTATAAATGAAAATATATATCTCAAATAGTTAATTTAAGATCCTGAAGTTTATTGAAGTATTCAGATATCCTCTTTTTTTTTTTTTTTTTTTTTTTTTTGTGATGGTAGTAAGGTCTGAAGGCAGGCAAACCACCTGATCTCTGCCTCCTGAGTAGCTAGGATTACAGGCTCACCAGTGCCCGGCCATATAGCTACACTTTTATATCTAATTAAACATTTACTTCATTACTTTGAATTCTAGGCAACTCAAATCTAAACCTGCGGCTAACCTCAGGCATTTGTTTGGATATAATTCAAACTACTATTTTGCCTTTATATCCCTTACTCTTGATTTCTTTCTAATTTGCATTCTTTTTTCCTCAAGCATTGGAGCTACTACTTTTTAGAATCATTCATTCTGTGACTATAACCTTAATTTTAAATAAGTATATATGCAGTCATAATAGAGGTAACCAATGTTGTCTAGGTGCACAAAGAAGGGAAAATAAATAAGTCTGTCTTGGGAGCATGAGCTGAATTGTGTAATTCACACATTGACAAGCACAGGTTAACAGCCCAAAGCAAGGAACTGCATATTTTAGGACTAGGCCTGGAATCCTGACATTTCACTAGGTATCCCTATAGCCCTGCTCATAGAATCATACACAAGATCCAAAAATTTGACAGACACTGACCTTACACAGGATCACTCTCTCCTTTTCATGGGTGAGAATAGCCTGAGCTTCCTTCTTTTTTTTGCGCAAAAGATTTAGGATTTCCTGGAGTTTCTCCTGCAATGGAAACAAATTCTGTGGTAAATGAGCAGAGCACTGGGTCATGAAAAGACCTTGAAAACCAGTAACCAGAAGATGACAGGGAGACTAAATCAAAGGAGGAATGCAGGATCCATGCAAGTTTGTGGCATGGTACCTGAATGAGCACCTGTGACAGTCAGATAAAAATATTATAGGATTTAAGTGATGGGACCTTATTGTGTTGTGAGGTTGATAATGAGCACCCCTCTTACTTTGTGTTGTTCCTCAGCTTCACTTGAGAGATACAATCGGTTTACTCCATGATTTTGAGTTGAGAAAGCAGTTACACTCTGTTCATCATCAGAGAACACCCTAGTGGCTGATGGCATTCTCCCGCAGCTACTTGCTTCATCCTCATTCTGAAGTACCTGGGATCTGAGCTGCCTGCCAATGTTAGCCAGCCTCCCCAGTCGCTCATTAGCCTGAAAATGAGGGCCTCCCAAGGTCCTCCAGCACTCAGGACAAGACAAAGGTGTGTTATGCTCCTCCCAGCTCTTCAGGAGACACATTAGACAAAAGTTGTGCCCACACTCAGTGGTCACTGGGCTGTTGAAATAGTCCAAGCAGATGAAACAGGTAAGTTCTTCCCTGAGGTTTTCCATCAAATCTGCTGCAGACATTTTCACAAGGATGGAAATTAGCACAAGGCTACAATTCTGTTTTTGGATTAGAGAAGTCTTCCCTGTGACTCTATTGTTTTCTGGGTGATCAGTTGCTGTGTTGTTATTAGAAGAAACCCTTATTCTCCTCCATACCTGATTTCACCAATTGACATATACTCTCCCAACACAAAGCCAATTATGACTTAATGTGGAACCCTGGTACATTGTATTCATCATCAACCCCAAACTTTTCTTAAATCTCTCTCTATGCAAGACACACACTGAATAATTTTCTCCTCACACAGCTATGATTTTGAGAGTTGATTAATGTGTATATACAGCAGCATGAAGTCATTTAAACACATTTTAGGCTAGAAGGTTAGATTATTTCGCATAAACCAGTACAGAGGTTTAAATTATGGTGATTCTAATAACTACTGAGTTGAAAGTATAGCCTTTTTATGTAACTATACTTATAAAACTTAGTTGAGGACTGAAAGAAGAAATCTTTAACATATACTCTTTTTCGTAGTAAGCCCTTTCTCTGCTTGACCAAAGTCTAAACTTTCTGTTCCCTTATCAGGCACTATGTACTTTTGCTTAAGTTTACTCATCCCAACACAATGTGAACTATTTAATGAAATTTCCTTCACTTTAGATGTATAATGAGTTATCAGTTATATTCATGACCCTGTCCTGCAGGCTATAGTACTCACCCGTTCACCATCATAGAAAGCATCTAAAATGACATTCTTGTTAGATGTTGCCTCAAGGGGCCACCATGCTATAGAATGGATGAAAAGTATTATATCTTAGTATAATTATAATTTTGCTTCTTCTTTTCACCCTTTGAAAAAATTTCTAAACTAAACTTTTTCAAACCCCTTATTCTCTATCAGTTCTTAATAGGTAGAAATTAAATAGTCAAATGTTGTTTTAGGCCTATGAAAAAGTAAATGTATGGTATAGAGACTGTGTACAATGACCACTGTGATTAGTGCCAAATTCTATAAATTCAGAGTGTTATATGCCCACGAGTCACTTCTTGTCATGGCCCACCTTCCACACATTGTATGCCAGAAAGTGAGATCTTAATGCTCTTCCTCAGAATCTGGTCAGGTTGACCTTCTCACTAGGTTCATTATAACATATTCCTATTTTTATTCTGTCTTCTCCAGCTTGGCAAACTTCCATGAGTCTCCACTAACCCAAGTTATTCCATTAATTTTTTTCTGACTTTCAAGGATCCAAATGATCTTTCTTTCCCACTTATCTCCAACAAGATGTTGGGTGTTAACTTCAACTTTGAGAAAAAGAAGTTTTCTGGCCCAAAATGTTTCTTCCTCTACCTCCTCTATCTTAGCCAAAACTCACCTTTCAGTAGTTATTGATACAAATGTTTCAAACATAGATCCCTTGTATAGAATTTGTGAATTATGAAGGTGAGAATTTAAGCTAAGAAAAAGAAACCATCAGAGCAAAGAGTTGTATCATTTTAAATAAGAAGAGAGGTGGCATAAGTTAGACATCATGAAACCTCCATTGCTTAGGTTACTTCTAGGCTAGTAGATGGGCACAACTTCAAAATACTGTTAGAGTTAGTCTTAAGTAAGGACCTATAATGACTCCAAATGCCACCACTGGAAAAAGGGTTCAGTATATCAGTCCCACACCAACCCAGGAGTCTTTAACATGGACCAGAATCATTAGAAAAGGTCTTACAGTAGAGGTGTGGTACATCACAGAGTCCATATTCCAATTTGGAATTGGGAGACTGGAATATTCTATGTTCAAGTCACACTGACCTATTCCATTTCACTTCCCTCTTCCAAATAAATTCCTTTCTTTTATAAGCATTTTATAAGCATAATATCTGTGTCTTATTCATCTCTGACCAGAACAGTTCTTTGCACATACCAAGGGTTCAGCTTATCTATAAAAAGTTTTAAGTTAGCAAATAAAGGTACCATATAATTATAGAATTGCATTCTTACTCTTAGCTGAAAACCAAGAGATCATAAAGCTCCAATTCTCTTCTATATATAGATAAAGGAAATTGAGGTTCAAATAAATTGAGTTGATCCCCTGATATTGAGGTCACATCAGTACTAGAACACTGGGTCTCCCTGTCATTCTCTTTTGTCAAAACATTATATTGTACCTCACTTGTTGACTTGCTGACCACATGAAAATTTCCAGTTATCTCAAAGAAATGAATATGGCTCAAGAGCCTTCGGAAGGAAATTGAAACAGCTAGTCTTTGGCAACACTCACTTGGGAATGCAGACATCTTTATCATCTCTCTGAACACACTAACTAGGCTTAGTTCATAGATGAAATTAATTCACAGAGTGATCTGGCCTTCCCAAAACATACTACATACCCTTCAAGGTACTACACTGCCAGACATGATTTCTGAGATCAACAATTCAAGTATCTTCTTTTCTAGCCTGTCTCATCATAGTAAAGTGATGGTAGAAATATCCCAAGAAGTCCACAGTGACAACTGTCACTGATGTGATTGGAGTGGAAACCAAATATAGAAAAAGAAACTTTAAAGATATCTTAGTAAAGGCAGTGAGCTAGAAGGGGCTTCTATGAAAAATACCTTGCATGAAAACCTGGTTTAAAAAATGTCTGTCACTTCATATCAGTGTGGAAAAGATAGATTATCTAGCCAATATGTTTGGACAAGTAGGGGTAGTCATGTGGAAAAATAAAGTTGGATCGTTACCTAACAACTTACCGCAATGTGTGTTCCAGATGGAGATGTGTGTGTATTCCTCAATTGTGTATTTCTCCTTATATTATTTCCCTTTCTATTGCTTTTTGCCTTATTTATTATATTACTTTGTGTGGTTTTGTTCTAGATTACCGCACATGTATTTAGCAAGTAAGCAGAATAATTATTATACATAACTATTAAACAAGAATGGAGCTCATGATGAGAGGAAGTAATTGTTCACATAGCAGAAGTTTAAAATGAACTACTTAGGGAGAGCTTTTTAAAGCATGCTTAAATACCACAGAGGAAAGGATTAATAATTTTAATCACTAAATGCTAAAGACTTCCAAACAGCAAAATTAATAACCAAATGAGTTTTTAAATGAAAATCATAAACACAATCATAGCAAGTATCATATACCTAATCTTAAATAATGAAAATGTCTTACACGAAAATATACTTAAAATAATAGCTTTTATTATTATTATTGTATAGCCTTTAAAAGATAGCAGATTCATTTGTACATGCTGACATATGAAAGCCATTATATAACAGCAAGGGAAACATATATTTTTGTCCCCAACATAGTTTAAAAATAAATAATAAAATCCATATGTATGTATATGTATTTTCCTACAAAAAGGAATTCATGTTGCTAATGTTGATAACTGAATCTGTGTATATGAAGCTATAGAAAATCTATGAAATTTCACAGCTTTAACAACAAAAGCACAGGCACTGGAAGCAAAAATAGGTAAGTGGGGACTACATCAATGTAAAAATTTCTGCACAGCAAACAGTCAACAAGATGAAAAGGTGATCTATGGAATGGGAGAGAGTATTTGCAAACTGTTCATGAGATAAGGGGTCAATTTCCAAAATATAAAAGGAACTGATAACTCAATGGCAAAAAAGCCACAAAAAGAATAATCTGACTTTTAAAAGTACTAGCGATTTGAATAGACATAATTCCAAAGAAGACATACAAATAGCCAACAGATACATGAAAAGATGCTCAATGTCACTAATTATGAGAAAAATTCAAGTCAAAAACCACAAGGATCACCTTGTATCTTTTAGGATAGCAATTATATAAGCTTATATAAAATATAAGCTATTATGAAGAAGAGAAGAGAAAAAGACAAGAAGTGTTGGAAAGCTGGGTGCTGGTGTCTCACACTTAAAATCCTAACTACCTGGGAGGCAGAGATCAGGAGGATCAAGATTCAAAGCCAGCTAGAGCAAATAGCTTGTGAGACCCTATCTCAGAAAAAAAAAATCACACAAAAGGGGTGGTGGATTGGCTCAAAGTGTAGACCCAGAGTTCAAACCCCAGTATTGCAAAAAAATGTATAAAAATACTGTATTGTATGCTTAAAATTTCATCAAGGGTATATCTCATGTTTAGTGTTCTTCCCACAATAAAACAAAATTTGGCAATTAAATAGTAATGAAAGATAAACACCAAACTGGCAGTGTTTGTTGTGGTGAGATTGGAATATTGGAAAGAATTGTTCTGTTTTTTATTTTTGTTTTGTTTTGTTTTTGGCAGTACTGGTGTTTAAATTCAGGGCCTTGTACTTGCAAGATGGGCACTCTACACTTTTGACATGCTTTCAAGCCTTTTTGCTTTAGATATTTTTTAGCTAGGGCCTCGCATTTTTTTGCCTGGGGTTGACCTGGACCATGATCTCCTATTCATGCTTCCTATGAAGCCAGTATGGCAGGCACATGACACCACACTCATTTTTTTTTGTTGTTGAGATAGGGATCTAGCTTTTTGTCTGGCTTGTTGACAAGCCTCCCAACACCTGCCTTCAGAGTAGCTGAGATTTACAGGCATGAGTCACTATACTCAGCCCATTTTTACTTCTTTCCCAATAAATTTTTGTAGAAACATCCAATTTTCAAAAAATTTAATATGTTAATCAGCATGTTTTCATAAAGAATTTTCAGCCAGGAAATGTGAGGTGCCCCCTATAGTAAGCACATTAATGAGGCAATTTTCTTCAAGTTGAAGTATGAAATCATCTTCAAGAATCTATCTCAACCATAATATAAGAAATATTTAACAGTTCATCATTCCAACATGTGGGTTTTTTTTTTTAATTTAACTAACAGGTATTGTGCCTGTATTATATAGAGAGTAATCAGCTTAATGGTGAAAGTGATGTTACTAAAATAATTAATCTTCTTTTGGGAGCAAGAGATATGTGAAAGGAAAACAAAGAAGAGAGAAAGAGAGAGAGAGAGAGACAGAGACAGAGACCAATAAAGAATCTGCAACCTCTA